CTGAAAGATCTAGCTGACAGTATCAGAGCCTACAGATTTTACTTTCAAAATGGAATTAGGCCCTTTGTCATTGAAATGACAGACTTAGCTTGCCCAAAGGCATGTTCCAGCCAGAACCACGGAAACAACATATAACCAGGACAGGCAGCTGTAGGCACAGAATAACACAAGCCCACAACTTAGTTCCTCCATGGAAATGCAATGTTACTGGAGGGCTCAGTGGAAAAGAGCCAGGAGACAGAAGATTCTCTTTGTTAAAGTCGATAAGCCTAAATGGGATTTCATCCCACTTCCAGAGGGTGCTTTTATGTTGCACAAACACAGCCAGAGCTGGCACTCATCTCATTCTGAACTCCCAGGCAGAGTGTTTGATGCTGCCACTGTGAACTCTCAGCAGCCTCTTTCATGCCAAGATACCGTGGGGAAAAAGAAAAGCTCCCAACCTGAAATGACTGACACTCGTACAGCAAGGAAATTACATCGCAAACTCTCCTTCCTGAAGGCGGTGTGAGCTCTGGGAGGCTGATGTGTGAATGACTGACACTCGTACAGCAAGGAAATTACATCACAAACTCTCCTTCCTGAAGGTGGTGTGAGCTCTGGGAGGCTAACCACACTCTGCCTCAGGTGCCTTTGCCACCCTCATGGCTACGGTAATATCTTGTTGGCGGACGTTTATCCATCCTTTTCGCATCGTTCCTCTTCCTTCTCAAGCTGTAGCAGCACAGCCTCCGAGTCCCCAACTCGTACAGCAAGGAAATTACATCACAAACTCTCCTTCCTGAAGGTGGTGTGAGCTCTGGGAGGCTAACCACACTCTGCCTCAGGTGCCTTTGCCACCCTCATGGCTACGGTAATATCTTGTTGGCGGACGTTTATCCATCCTTTTCGCATCGTTCCTCTTCCTTCTCAAGCTGTAGCAGCACAGCCTCCGAGTCCCCATGTCAGCAGCCTTTAAGCTGTTCCCAAGACATCCACGTGCCCCCACAAGGAACCGTACGCCCGCTTTACGTGCTTGCTGCCGAGGTGGCACAGGGGACAGCTGTCTTGCCGTGGGCGCCCTCCGAATGCTGAGGGCAGCTCTTACTCGGCATTACCTGGAGGCAGAGGAGCTCGGTGCCTGCCAGCAACATCCTTTGCCTTTACAATTTACAGCATCAGACGACCTGACCACAGACACCTACTGGCTATGCGCAACCCCCATCCAAAACCAGAGGCGTGTTTTGAAACCCACTGTCCCCGCAGCAGCGACAGCTACTACACCCTGTACTTTTCCCGAGGAAAAGCTGGGGTGTGGTCTTACAGGATTCATGTTGCCCTCAAACCAAGTTGGGGTGTTTCGGCAGCATTTGGCATGGGTTATTTTGCCCAACTTCTATGCTTCGGGACCTGTGTTTTTGCACTCTTGCATCTTCCAAGCACCCAGCTCCTCTGACTCCGAGGCTCTGCCTGTAAATCAAGACAAATGGTCTCTCCGTGGTAGATTGTCTCTCCTACACATCTTTTTAGAGAGTCATCTGCTACATGGTTCCCACCATAAAGGCTAGGAACCAGAGTCTGCTGTTAGAAGTGTTCATGGCCCCGGTAGCTAAGCATATTCCAAGTTCTCCTACCGTGTCCAATTCCTAATGGTCTCTCCAAACACAGCACAGGCAGGTCTCCTCCTCCCCAGCTGCCCCAGGAGTTTTGTGCTGTTACAGTGTTCAATTCCTAATGGTGAGTGCCATCAAAAGCCCTGGGCTGTTTGGGAAGAAGATACAAAATCTGTTGCTCTTCTCCCCTGGCATTCACCAGAGCACTCTTTTCTAGCGAGTAACTACTCTCCCAGAAAACCTAGGCAGCACAGGATGCTCTTCTCCCTATTCCTGAAAGTGCTCGGGGCAAACTCCTTTACACAGAACCACGCGCAGGTAAAACCAGGGTAGGTGTCACAAAGAAACCTGCAGGTTCTGTGTCAGGTGCTCAGCACGTGGATGTCGCTGTAGCCAAAAATCCACGCTGCCCTGCTAAGGAGACAGCAGAACTTTTTTTTTTAAGTTCTTTTAAAAGCTTTTGTTTATCATCAGGTACTGCCCAGGTACGCACTTCCCTGAACGTGTTACCCAGCGTTGCAGAGCCCCTGCCAAAGCACACATTCCTGTCTGTCTCCCACAGGTGTATCGGGATCCTGGGCAGTCTGATCCCATTTCCAGGGAAGCATTACTGGGAGGTGGACGTTGAGGAAGACACAGAGTACAGAATTGGCGTGGCTTTTGAAAACACGCCGAGACATGGTTACCTGGGGGCAAACAACTCATCCTGGTGCATGAGGCACATCATCACCCCGTCCAGGTAAGGGCTGCGGCGGCTACAGGTCTCCTACGGGAACAGCTACGTGTGCACCTGCAGGCAGAGCGGCACAGAGCTCCTCCGTGTAGGGGGCAGCCAGAGATGGTGTATCCAAGCCCCGGCCGAGCACCTTGAACCAAATCCTGCTGCTTCATGACGTGGGCAGTCCCAGGAACAAATCTGAATAACCTCCACCTTACAGGAGTGAGCTGTGAGGGCCTTGCTTTAGGTCACCAAAACCCCAGCGGGAAGACAGAGATCCATGTAACCCAGAAACCACGCGTCTGCCTAAAACCAGTATGTAACTGGTTTTGCTCTCCCTCCCACTAGGAAGTACCTAGCAGCCACACCTGCATGCAGAGGTGCCAGCTCCGACACCTCAGCTGACCCCACACACCATTACTAGCATCACTGCCTTTGGCTCCCGGGGAGATTCAGGCACCCGGTGAAGCATCCCGGAGCAAGAAAACATGCCACATTCCCCGGCATCCCGGTGCCTGCAAGCTGCCAGGTGCACAGTCAGCAAACGGCAGGGGTGGCACAGCTGGGGCCCAACTCTGCCCGTCCCCTGCCCGCTGGCACGCAGGGAGAGGTGTGGGATGCAGCGCCGCGGCACACGCTCCTCCCCAGGCACCTGCTGCTCTCGCCCAGCCACTCCTTCGCAGGGCTGGCGAGAAATGCTGCCTAATGAGGGAGACCAAACCCGCTAACGACTCTCCCAGACACTGCAGGCAGGCTAATTGGATTTCCTCGCTACCTTGAGCTAAGAGGTACCTTGAGGTTTGTCCTCATTCCGGGGCAGCGAGCACGGACTTGAGAGAGGAAAGGGAGCTGGGCCCAGTTTGAGTCGCGGCCATACCTGCTCCGGCGGGGAAGTTCTCGCAGGTTTGAGTGGTGTGGGTGGAGGGGGCGGTTAGCGAAGAAGCTGGCCCTTACGAAATGCCTGCTAACTTACTTCAGCTGAACAAATCTCATTTCTGCTCAGAAAGGCACACATTCCCATAAAAGTCTCCCATTTTCAGTTACAGCGTGCCACACTAGCGAGAGCTGAGTACCTCAGCTTTGATCAGTGACTACACGGGGAAGTGGGCTGCCCTCACGCTAAAGCTGCTGAGGTACAGAGCAACTTCCCGGCCTCCAATAATCCACAGTCCGGGAAGCACAACTAAAAGACGTCACCCTCTAGTAAACGAGAGCAAAGAGTGGAACTTCCCCGTCAACACGGCGCTGGCTGAGCAGGGAGGTCCTGCAGGAAAAGCAGCCGGAAACATCATTTAGAGAGCGGGGTTTGGAAAGTGATGTCAGATAGTCCCGTGACCGTGGCAGGGAAGAGGCTCAGTACCACAGGAGCAGGCGGGCAGCACGGCAGGGCCTGGAAGGATGGGACAGCCGCCTCGCCACCTCTCTCCCTGGCAGTGCCTTACAGCTATCCAGGGGCGAGGCTGAGGGCATGG